TTTTGGCTACGCATCTGATGAATTTGCCCATTTTCAACACATTTATTCATTTTGATTATTTCAAAGTAGCGTTGGCAACAATATCGAACTGCATGGGAAAACACTGGTTTCTTTAAATCTTTGATAGCATCAGTTTAGGAGGAAAAAACCGAGTAAATCAATTATCATTTTTTTATTCAGCGAGAGTGGGCGTACATGTGAACCACAATTATATAAGATTAACTATCAACCAATGAAGTGATTCTTTTAAACTACTACAAAATTCTATGACATTGTGAATGACAGTTTTGGGGCTCGAGCTGCACTAACATTACGGCACATCACTGAATGCCCACGCCTTTCCTTTGTATAGTCGTTGCTCTCGAAAAAGCACTGGCAAGACATCTGAATATTAATATGTCGCATAGGTTGACTACCTATAACATCAATCACACCCTGTTTCATTTGAATGGAGTTTAAAAATTAACCAAAATGCTTTTGGATATACCCTCCGTGTTTCTTCATGTCGCTTCTCAAGATCGAATACCTATGATAAGCCTGTTCAGATAACATTTAAGTTCCTTCAGTGAAAATTTAGTAGGGAACCCTCAGAATTTTGTAGAACGCCACTAACGACGATACGCCCAGCAATAGGTCCTACGAGATAGTGGATTGGTCATTCATTCAAATGCTTGAAACTACAACAAGAAGGAAATAGCGTCAAAACAGAAGAAAACCACATCTTCTAACGAAAGAATTTTTCTTCAAGCTTTCCTACACAAATCTTTTACTGCGGAATATCATGGCTATACAGAATTTGCACTTAAATTTTTATTGCAATTTAGCAGGGCAACGTTTTGGCGCCATTTTCGCTCTTTGTAACTTCTCAATTTGAGATCGCGTAAAAGTTCATTAAAGATTCGTTATCAGCATGTTCTTTTTGAACCTGTTATCAACAATCTTAATCAAACTTTCTACTTTACATTTATTGGGATTCTACAGTGTGAAGATAGAGTAGGAAATGGTTGTGTTAATCGAATTTAGCGTATCAAATCCTCTTAGTAATTTTTGAGAGTGTGCAAGTGTTGAATATTTAGGAATTTGAAACTGGTTTGTTCCACGTGGCGGAAAACAAAAAAAAAGACCATTGTCGTTAATGTTAACATATACCTAACCCTATGCACAATCGCAATGTAAGGATCCAAAAGACAACGGTTTGATTGTTAATAATTTTTTTATTTAAAATTGTTTTCTAGGCCTTTTGATTCGGCCTAAAAAGATAGCATGAGCTTGACTTGCACACAAAATCGACTCGTACTCTATGCAATACTTACGATTATGACACAAAGTTCTAGGCGGCTTGGGGGCGTAAGGCACTAATGCATTGTCCTAGGGATTGTTTTAAAGTGCTGGGAATATTATTCAATTTACTAAAGCCCAGTATGATGGACCTGACCACAAGTTTTTTTTAAACGTACGCTAAGTGCATGACGGCAAAGTTAAGGGCTTCTACGATACGACCGTAATCCCACTTAATCTCCAAAGGCACAAAACTTGCATATTTTTGCTAACCTAAGTTCAAACTAACACTTCAATTCACATCTTTGAGGTTCAAAAAGCTTAGAAGTAGAAGAATTATCAATGATCACATTTTTTGGACAACTTGCATGTATACGGTAGTCGAGTACCTACTAGTCGTATATGATTTCTGTGACTTTTTTTGCTACGCTGTTTTGGTGGGAAACTTTGGAATTTTCACCCATTGGTGTATGTGTGCTGGAATGCTTTTCCTACTTTATGAAATCTCAGGCCGAGTCTTTCGGATTTTGGGCTGAGACATGGAAGAGCAAATAGAGG